TTTGAGACTTTAGTCTTTGCAACTTCAGGGATCTTATCTCTGCACAATCAGCTTGTTACACTCCAAAGAGAAAGGAAAACTTGAAATCGCATCATATGACCCCTTTAAGCTTCTAGTGTTTGTTTTGACCTGCTAACAGTACAAGTGTAAGCTATTAGTTAACAGCATCAGTAAACATATTGAAGAGTTTGACTTGCTCATCGTGACTTCAGCACGGGTCACGCTGGCTGATCATGTAACTTAATAATGCACCTTAACTTAACTAATATTGCTATCATTCATCACCACAGCCGTGCAGAACATCCTCACTAGCTCAGCAGGCTCTGTACTTTACTGTAACGCACTGTACTGCTGCCATAACCTTGTGTAACAGCGCTGTAAAGGATACAGATGCCGAGAACTACAGCGCCGATAGCGAGTCCTGTCGCAACGTTTCGTCCTCGGAGCTTGACTGCGTTCTTCTTCCACTGCGCCAGCTCCACTTGTCGGATGAACTGCAGCTGTTCTCTGGTCAGAATTTCCTTTGCAGGATCTATTCTCTTCGCAAACTGGGCTTCAGGTCTGGGCTCCCCTTGACTGCTCTTGTCCGCCATGTTTGAAGCGCTGTTTTCGTGACGTAACACGGTTATTTTGCAAATCAATGCTGCGTCGAGTTTGCGCAGTCCGTCTCTTTCTTTATTATTATTATTTTTTTTGCAAGATCTGCGCAGCCCGTCGCTTTACAAGTTGTTGAGGGGAATAATTTGATGCTAGTTTAAATGTAGCTTTATTAATTATTTAGTTTATTTTACATCAACTAATTTTAATTCATCTTTGACCAGCTGACTGTGAAGCGTGGTTGTTGAACTGGCAGCATATGTAGATACGGTCAGGTATAAATACAATACAATAAATTACTTCAGTTATTGTAGTGATGTTATATTTCTTGTATTCCTGCATATTGTAGTTGGGGTCTATGACCACAGCCCTAGAAGAAATGTATTCATTTAAAAAAAATAATAAAAGTGCCACTTTTAAACAACCAATACGTTGATGGTGTTATCACGTGGTTCCTGTTACTTTTCTCAACGCCTCTCAAAATTGGCCAATCACAGTCGTCGTTGTAGTGCTTAATTAAGAAATTTCGAAAAAATAATTTAATTGGAATTCCTCCCGAATATATTTGCATGTCTGTTATAAAGTCTTAAAAATTATACATCGGCATATATATATAAAAATAATAATAATAATAAAAAACCGTGCTGATCCTGAGGGGATTTGGCTTTCTGGAGCAAAACGAACATTTCCAGCTCGTTGTTGTGACGATTAATCTTTACTAACAAATGGCGGGAAGTACTATGTTTTCACTGCACACCAGAGAACCGATGAACCCGAGGTTTGGAGAGGTGTCTTTAGACATTTTAACCGATATTCTGTCCAACCTCAACAACAGAAACAAATCCAACTTGGAGAGCGTGTCAGATCTCTGTGGATGTCTGAAAGAAAGGAGGATAGTGGGTGAGTGTTGTTGGCTTTAAACTAAGTTAGCTTATAATGTTGGCTAGTGTGATATGTCAGGGGTTTGGTATCAGATGGCAGTACCACAGTAATGTGAAGCATACTGTAATATGTTAGTGAATGATTAAAATATTTATAAACAATGTTCTTAACATGACTTTGTGGTCCGCCGATATATCGCGAAGCCAAGGGCGGTATATCGCAGATGTATTCAAATAATCGGCCCGATAACTTTTCTTGTTTGACAGATTATTGTGGCAAGAGAGACTTTTATTTTGATGTAAATAATGATAGTAATATAAATAACAATGTTTAATTGTTTTAGCAAACATAACTATTATGATAGTTCCAAATCAACCAAATTTCAGAAACTTTTGATTTTGTCAATATTTTTTTAAGCCAAAATATTAAATGTCAGATGTATATTTATTGATTAATCCACTGTTTTGTCACCAGAGATTCGGCAACAAGCTACAGTTATAGTTTCAACATTATTTCTTCTTTAGATATTCCCCTTTAAATACAATAAGTATCAGCTGTATATAGATATACATATATATATATATATATATACACAAAGTGACCAACATTTGTTTTTCGACCACTGAAAATGGGTAATATTCAACAATCTTCACATGGAGCCGAAATCCCCATATCTCTGGGACTGAACTGTAAAGGGCCTTGAAAATGAAGATTCAAAAAGAAACGTTTACTAGGAATATAGCTAAGATAATCAAAAAGAATATTGAGATAAATTTAATACTACTTGAGTGACATGCACACAACGTTAGAAAAAGTATATTTATGGCGCTCGGAGAGGTATGTTCTGCGCTATTGTTCTGATAGACGGGAAACCAGATACATTTCTAGTTTCAACATTATTTGTTCTTCAGACCGTCCTCTTTAAAAGAAAAAAAAGTATCATCTGTATGCAAAGTGACCCACATTTGTTTTTTTTGGCCACTGAAAATGTGTACAATTCAGCAATTTCCTCCTGGAGCCAGATTGCGATTCCAATAATGCTGTGGGTTTGATTAGGTTTGGAGCTAAACTCTGCAGGACAGTGGCCCTTTAGGACCGAAGTCGCCCAGCCCGGATATAGAGCCTTAAAAATGAAGATGCCAAAAGGAACGTTTGTTAAGACCCAAAATTTTAAAGGGCATTAAGATATCTTTAAAACTTCTTGAGTTACAGGGATGCAAACTTTGGAGAAGAAACTTGAAAAGTGCTTTTTTTCCATTTTTGAATGGTCACCACTGGGATTTAATGCAACACCGATGGCTCAAGTCAACCGATTTTACTAATAGACCAACCAATTGTTCATGTATTATCACCCTTGTTTATTCTGTCCGCAGAGTGTGTGTTTCATCTCTGTGAGGAGCTGGGACTGAATCCTGCGGTTGGATACCAGGCAATCGAAATACTGGAGAGGTAGTTAAAGAATCTTGAAAGAGCATTATTCACTGTAAACCTGTTTAAAACAACTTCCCTTTGCCATGCTCTAGGTTTATGGCCAAATATATTGAACATCTAATCCGCAGCCAGAAAGGTCAAGTAGCATCATCTGAGGACACAGGAAAATTTGAGGAGCTCATCTTCCAAACACTCAAGAAGAAGTTCTTTCTCTCCATCCTCTCAAGCGTTCAGATAGCCAGCAAACTGGACCTGTACTCCAATGTATGTTTATTTCATAAATTAGAACGTAACGAACATTCCATGCGTTATTATGTGATCGGTTCTATTTGTGTTTGTCTAGGTTGTTAACAATGACATTGCCATGAGATTTCTGCAGGCAGTCGGTTACCCTTGCTCCAAAGAGCAGCTCTTGGTCTCTGAGATTCTCGTTTTAAAAACTCTCAACTTTAATTTAAATGTCCCCAATCCTTTAACATACGTGGAGACCCTTTTGGAAGTGCTGGGTAAGTAGTGTGTTTCTCCGGTATCAGCTATAAATTTAGATTGCACATAACTCAAATGGTCTTAATCACAGTGTTTTGTGCATTTACACAGGCCATAATGATGCAAGTGTCCCTGTTGCTCAACTACATCAGCTGTGTGTGCGTGTACTGCAGTTCATTTACCTGCAGAGGGAGACAATCTACAACTCATTGCTCAAATCTGCCACTGGATGCTCCAGTCCTTCCCATGAACAAAGGTACAGGGTTTTATTTTTAGGATTCCCCATATTTTCTGCTGTTCCCCCTAATGTTTTTAAAGGTGAATTATGTAATTGTGGTTCAGATGCTCTCTCCTTCCAGCTTAATGTGTAGAAAAAACTACAAATATGCCATTCCTGTGTCCTAGTGACCACTGAGTTGAATTAGTTTGAACAAAGTGGCTGTTTGGGTTCAAGAATATTGTGTTCATTGTCGCGGTAACTTGTGCTATATAGTTAACCTGGTCCGGAGCAGGTTTTATTCTGGTAAGAGATCACAAACCTAAACTGGACCAATCAGCTGTGAGCAAAGTGACATATTTCAGATGCAATGAAACCACTACCCCTGGATCTCTTGCTCAAATTAAACCACTTAAAAAAAATGTAGAGATTTAATTGTCCAGCTTTTGCTGCTAACACACACACACACACACACACACACATATATTAGGGGTGTAACGGTACACGTATTCATACTAGTGTTGTCACGGTACCAAAATTTCAGTATTCGGTACCAATACCAGTGAAAATCCACGGTTCTCGGTACCAAAGCAAAACGCAAAAACATGCTAATTAAAAAATGTGACTATACTTTCATTTAATCCAAACTGTGTACATATTTAATTTTAAAGGGCTTTTGAAAACCTTCTAGAGTTATTCAGCCAAGAATAACGACTAAGTTGGCTAAAAAAAAAACTAAAAAAAGCCCTGAACTGCTTTTCTGGCTGATATGACACAAACAATGTTAACCATTTGTACATTCTCTAATATGCATATTTTAGATTCACAATTCATTTAAAAGCCTCTGGTGTGTAAAAATAGTAAATATCATCATGTCCTCCTGTTTTTTTACCCTAATAAAAGTTATAGGAGCACTAAATAGTTAATAAAGAAACTTAATTCTAATGCTCATTATATTAGCGTTAGCCACGCTTATGCTAACGATTAACTGCTCTAATAACAGCGTTCATTTCAATCCGACATTCAAAATGACATCCATAATTTTCTGAAGACATTCGGTTTCCTTCAGAAATACAGAGATATAAAAAACACCCTCACCGGGTTTTGACTTGTTTCAATGAAGTCAAAGCCTTTTGGAAAATCTATTTGTGGCGGTCAGTTTTGATATTGTGTGAGGGCCGCCACAAATAAATCAATGTATGGGAAACACTGAGAAGATCTAAATATTAAAAATTAAAATGAAACTTACCTGCTTGAACTCTTTCATTTGATCTGGGTGTCTGTCTTTAAAGTGTTTTGTTAGTTTGGTGTGTTTCCTCATTTTGATGTCGCCACGTCTCAGTGCTTTTATGAAGAGAGCGCATCTGTGCACCTTTCGGATAGCGCATCAAGAACCGGGTTGACCGGGTACTATCACCGGTACTTAAAAAAACCTGGTACCGTAACATTAAAATTTTTTTAGTACCGAACCCGATTTGGTACCGAAGTACCGGGTCTTTTGACAACACTATTTTCGGTACGGGTCTTTCAGTTCAGTACGCATGTGTACTGAACAAATACAGCGTTGTTTTAACCACTGCACAGCGGAACTTAATTGAAAGCTTCCAGTTTTATATATTGTACTTTTGATAAGAAACAAAGTCTCATCTTTCAAATTATGTCCTTTTTTCAGGAAATTCAAACAATAAATGCCGTTTTGATGCGGCGCAAACCGATCGCTGTATAAGCGCCTCAGTTCAAACGGCAGCGCGATCGTCTCGTCCTCTTTACTACTAGTTTTAACATGAAATAAACATGAAAGAACATCTCATGCCTCATGTAATCGCTCAATCAGAAAGACGACAATAAAAAACAGCTTGGAAACAAAATGTCACAAAGCGTTTAATTTACTTTACCTGTTATGTGATGTCTTAATTATTTACTGTATGTTTAAATAAATCTGTTATGAAACTAGTTATGAGAGGCACTGTGTAAATGAATCTATTTCAACAACAAATATAATTTTTATAATTTAGAAGTTAATTT